GCACAATCAACGCAGCAACAATAGCAACTTTACCATAAATATGTTACGTCTATGCAACACATACTCAGCAGCAGACATGGTCAATCCACTGCTGAATGAAGACCTCCCCAAGATGCTGCTATTCCTCAAGATCTGCGTTATAATCTAGAAACAGGAACGTACTGATGATATAAACAAAAATTTTAAACTAAAATTTGTTTTTTACTAGGTAAGGACCTCACTGAGATTTGTAGCTATTTTTAGAAGCGACCCGGCCACAAATGATAGCTCAACGAAAGTGGCTTAACACGTGGGAATTCACAGCAGCCAAATAAGGGTCCCGTTCACTCTAAACGTATGGGGGGAGGGGGGGGGAACCCAGAGAAAATCCACGCGACCACGGGGAGAGTGACAAGATCAAGTTCATGTATTAGGTATAGCCCTGTGAGCCATTCGGCTCTTGAATCGGGTGCAACCGCAACAAACAAAAAAACAAAAACATGAACAAGAATACATCGTATAGTGACTATGTGCAAACAGAAAATCCAAGAAAAGACGACAAAAAAACCACGAAAACTTCAAAAATACAGGCGTCGTAAGAAGGGTCGAGATCGAACCCACGACCTTCTGTGCACCGCGAGAGGTAGTGAACATCTCCTGGGCATCGTGGCGCCCGATATGGTTCATCTTGACACGTACAGTACTTGTTATGTATAACTCGCTCCACGTTACTCATTACCTAGCGCGTGTCTCAAATACCTGAGTGCCACGTAAATCCAAGTTGTAATAATTTACTTATTTATCCCGGAAAGGCACACGCCGAGTCGCATAATTCTTGTTCGGGAATGTCTCGCCACTGCGTTGGGTTTTTAACTTTAAGATATTCTCAGCTAATTCACGATGCGTGTTTATTATATATTTGTATTATTATTATTATTATACACGTCGGAGGAAACCGGAGCGCACGGAGAACACCCCCCTCCCCCACGCGCGCGTGCGAGGGGGAAACGCTATATCCCCGCACAAGATGGAATTTTGTTGCTTGGCTCTTCAAGACAACGGCGTGCTGTACTAGTATACTGTACTCGTATACTACACTATACACTACACTATACACTAGTGCTGTACTAGTATACTACACTATACACTACACTATACATTAGTGGTGTACTAGTATACTACACTATACACTACACTATACACTAGTGCTGTACTAGTATACTACACTATACACTACACTATACATTAGTGGTGTACTAGTATACTACACTATACACTACACTATACACTAGTGGTGTACTAGTATACTACACTATACACTACATTATACACTACACTATACACTAGTCCTGTACTAGTATACTACACTATACACTACACTATACACTACACTATACACTACACTATACACTCGTGGTGTACTAGTATACTACACTACACTATACACTACACTATACACTACACACGACACTACACACTAGTGCTGTACTAGTATACTACACTATACACTACACTTTGGTTCCACGCGATGATAAGAATCCACTTCGCTGAGCTATAATTTGTGGTAGCCAGATTGCTTCTGAAATAAAGAGAGCTACATAGCTCAGTGGGACCTTAGCTGGTAAAACATTTATTTGTTAAAACACATTGTCCTGCGGAGGGAGCTGGTAGGAACGTTGGGTTGCTCGGTCAATGGCCAGGGTCAACGGCGGCGTGGTGTATTCCGCAAATATTCCCGACTGTGAGGGCGGGCACAAGCCGGCGTGAGTAGGTTAAACGTTGAGTTTTATAAGGGCACCACGGGGTGACCAGCCCCTCCCCACCCAGCCTCACCCCTCCCACCCCGCCCCTCCCACCCCCCACCCAGCCCCTCCCCACCCTCCCCACCCAGCCCCTCCTCACCCTCCCCACCCAGCCCTTCCCCACCCTCCCCTCCCCACCAGCCCCTCCCTGCACGACGGACGGACGGACACAATAATCCCCTGTGGGCTGGTGTAACCAGGAGGTGCCTACCAGTAACATAGTTGAGTAAAGATACTCCCTGGTAGCTGCTTCTCTACTTGGCCTTCTAGCGGGGAGGGCCCTTCCATCAGCAGGGGCGTGAACGAGAAATTGCAGGGCTGCACCATTAACCTTTCTTGAGGAAAACGTGCTCACGTTTGCACAACGTTGCCCCAACGATGGCATGTGGATGAATCCGTTGAATCAACTTGGGTCTTAGGGACCGTCCATAAATGACGTCACGCGATTTTGGACGATTTTTTACCCCCCCCCCCCTCGTTACACGGCGTCAGAAAAAGTCAGACCCCCCCCCCCTCAAATATGACGTCACAAAGCTCTGGACGGCCCCATGCTTCACCACCAAATCGAGGTACAACAAGAGATGATGGTGCTGCATTGTTCATCTCTGCTGCCGACAATGTAGCACTGGCCCCAGGCAGCCTTTGACAACCGCCCATCCACGCACGTGGCAAGCTCCATGATGCAGCTGCGTTGACAGCAGTGCAATAAAAATTAACCCGTAAAAACAAAGTTTTTCACTATAAATCCTTTATATGCGTGGCGGCTAGAGTCCTCTCGTCCTCTGGCTTGAGATGGCTGCCACCTATGGGTCAGATGATTGCCTGCCACCATTAAGCAATTGGTAATTAAATATAATTTATTTTTTCCTAAAAAGTGTAAAATTTTGGAGAAAATAATTTGTCACGCACAACGAGTCTGTGTGCAAAATTTCAGCTCGATTGGATCACGGGAAGTGGGTTAAAAAAACGACCGAAAGATTTGCACGGTCGTAAGCGCGCAAGCAAGCAAGTGAACTTAATATAAAGGATTTAAAAAGTACACTTCTCATTATTTCGTGCAATTCACAAGGAACATTTCCCGAAACGTCGGCAATTATAGGTTAGATGTTTCATTTGAAGACCACACACACACACAAAGTGTTGTTATTGGCCCAATGTATTGATCGGTTTGCCAGATGTGCAACAGGCATCGGTGCGGGGTGGGGCGGAGGGGAGACAAAGGCGGTCGGGCGTGGTTGCGTCCACGTGCTGAGAAGAGGTGGGTGGGGAGCGGTGGTGCAGCGGTTAGCGCTACGCTGCGCTACGAACCAGGACCACCCGAGTTCGATTCCCGCTTGTGGCCACCAACGGCAGAGACGAAAATTATCATGAACCGGTCCTGGGTCTCCCCTAGGTCGACTCAGCCTCAAGTGAGTGCCTGGTGTGTACTGTGTGAACATCGCCACTGGGGAGACAAAGGCGGCCGGGCGTGGTGCTGGCCACCCACCCCCTCGTGTGTCGTGGTGGCCTTCACAGGCTGATAAGGGGGAGTGAGGGGAGGGGCTGAGGGGGTTGAGGGGGTTGAGGGGAGTGAGGGGAGTGAGGGGAGTGAGGGGAGTGAGGGGAGGGGCTGAGGGGGGTTGAGGGGAGTGAGGGGAGTGAGGGGAGTGAGGGGAGTGAGGGGAGTGGTTGAGGGGGTTGAGGGGAGTGAGGGGAGTGAGGGGAGTGAGGGGAGTGAGGGGAGTGGTTGAGGGGGTTGAGGGGGTTGAGGGGAGTGAGGGGAGTGAGGGGAGTGAGGGGAGTGAGGGGAGTGAGGGGAGTGAGGGGAGTGAGGGGAGTGGTTGAGGGGGTTGAGGGGCGTTGAGGGAGGTGAGGGGAGTGAGGGGAGTGAGGGGAGTGAGGGGAGTGGTTGAGGGGGTTGAGGGGGTGAGGGGAGTGAGGGGAGTGAGGGGAGTTGAGGGGAGTGAGGGGAGTGAGGGGAGTGAGGGGAGTGAGGGGAGTGAGGGGAGTGAGGGGAGTGAGGGGAGTGAGGGGAGTGAGGGGAGTGAGGGAGTGAGGGGAGTGAGGGGAGTGAGGGGAGTGAGGGGAGTGAGGGGGGTGAGGGGAGTGAGGGGAGTGAGGGGAGTGAGGGGAGTGAGGGGAGTGAGGGGAGTGAGGGGAGTGAGGGGAGTGAGGGGAGTGAGGGGAGTGAGGGGAGTGAGGGGAGTGAGGGGAGTGAGGGGAGTGAGGGAGTGAGGGGAGTGAGGGGAGTGAGGGGAGTGAGGGGAGTGAGGGGAGTGAGGGGAGTGAGGGGAGTGAGGGGAGTGAGGGGAGTGAGGGGAGTGAGGGGAGTGAGGGGAGTGAGGGGAGTGAGGGGAGTGAGGGGAGTGAGGGGAGTGAGGGGAGTGAGGGGAGTGAGGGGGAGGGGAGTGAGGGGAGTGAGGGGAGTGAGGGGAGTGAGGGGAGTGAGGGGAGTGAGGGGAGTGAGGGGAGTGAGGGGAGTGAGGGGAGTGAGGGGAGTGAGGGGAGTGAGGGGAGTGAGGGGAGTGAGGGGAGTGAGGGGAGTGAGGGGAGTGAGAGGAGTGAGGGGAGTGGTTGAGGGGGTTGAGGGGGTTGAGGGGAGTGAGGGGAGTGAGGGGAGTGAGGGGAGTGAGGGGAGTGAGGGGAGTGAGGGGAGTGAGGGGGTTGAGGGGAGTGAGGGGAGTGAGGGGAGTGAGGGGGTTGAGGGGGTTGAGGGGGTTGAGGGGAGTGAGGGGGTTGAGGGGGTTGAGGGGGTTGAGGGGAGGGGTTGTGGGGAGTGAGGGGGTTGAGGGGGTTGAGGGGGTTGAGGGGAGTGAGGGGGTTGAGGGGGTTGAGGGGGTTGAGGGGGTTGAGGGGGTTGAGGGGGTTGAGGGGATTGAGGGGGTTGAGGGGAGGGGTTGTGGGGAGTGAGGGGAGGGGTTGTGGGGAGTGAGGGGAGGGGTTGTGGGGAGTGAGGGGAGGGGTTGTGGGGAGTGAGGGGAGGGGTTGTGGGGAGTGAGGGGAGGGGTTGAGGGGAGTGAGGGGAGTGAGGGGAGGGGTTGAGGGGAGTGAGGGGAGGGGTTGAGGGGGAGTGAGGGGAGGGGTTGAGGGGGAATGAGGGGAGGGGTTGAGGGGGTTGAGGGGAAGTGAGGGGAGGGGGTGTGGGGGTTAAGGGGAGGGGTTGAGGGGGTTAAGGGGAGGGGTTGAGGGGGCGTGGCCGCGTGACGTCACGGTCACCATGGCGCCCCGGGGCGAGGCGTCACGGCCCCGGGGCGGCCGCGAGGAGTGATCCGAGACAGCGCGGGCGGCAACTACAACCTCCTCAACTACAACCTCCACAACTACAGGCAACAACTACAGGCGGCAACAACAACTACAGGCGGCAACAACTACAGGCGGCAACAACCTCCACAACTACAACCCCACAACTACAGGCAGCAACAACCTCCGCAACTACAGGCAACAACTACAACCTCCACAACTACAACCCCACAACTACAGGCGGCAACAACCTCCACAACTACAACCCCACAACTACAGGCGGCAACAACCTCCACAACTACAGGCGGCAACAACATCCACAACTACAACCCCACAACTACAGGCGGCAACAACTACAGGCAGCGGCAACAACTTCCACAACTACAGGCGGCAACAACAACTACAGGCGGCAACAACCTCCACAACTACAACCCCACAACTACAGGCGGCAACAACTACAGGCAGCGGCAACAACTTCCACAACTACAGGCGGCAACAACCTCCACAACTACAGGCGGCAACAACTACAGGCGGCAACAACCTCCACAACTACAGGCGGCAACAACATACTGCTACAGCTACTACTACTACAGCTACTACAGCTACTACTACAGCTACTACTACTACAGCTACTACTGCTGTAACAACTACTACAGCTACTACTACAGCTACTACTACAGCTACTACTACAGCTACTACTGCTGTAACAACTACTACTACAGCTACTACTACTACAGCTACTACTACTACAGCTACTACTGCTGTAACAACTACTACAGCTACTACTACAGCTACTACTACAGCTACTACTGCTGTAACAACTACTACTACAGCTACTACTACTACAGCTACTACTGCTGTAACAACTACTACTACAGCTACTACTGCTGTAACAACTACTACTACAGCTACTACTACTACAGCTGCTACTACAGCTACTACTACATCTACTACTGCTGTAACAACTACTACTACAGCTACTATTACTACAGCTGCTACTACAGCTACTACAGCCTGACAACTACAGCCACTAACTACAACTACCGCTACAACCTTACCCCCCCCGCCACGTCCGTCTTTGTATCTCCCGATTTGGGGCGTCGCACTTTTGATTAGTGGATGAAGTTGTTATCAATATTAATAACGATAACGGTGTTAATGTTGTTATTTACGTGTTAATTAATTTGTGGCAACGCATTTGTTGTTGTTGTTACAATGACCCACTTTAGTAGCGACGTAATAATGGTCATCTTCAATCGGATTGTTTAGAAGTTAACAACAAATGCAATTGACGTTGTAGTTAACGATACGATTATCATCACAAGCGCATCAAGTTATAATTGTGATGATTCTCATTGTAGTCGGCGTACTTGCTGTCGTTTCAAATTGAATGATTCCGCTTGGGACTTGCTCCACCAGACATCCGATCCATCACAGCGGAAAATTATCACCGTCAATATCATCATCATCATCAATCTCATCATCATCATCATCAATCTCATCATCATCAATCTCATCATCATCAATCTCATCATCATCAATCTCATAATCAATATCATCATCATCAATCTCATAATATCAATATCATCATCAATCTCATCATCATCATCATCATCAATCTCATCATCATCAATCATCATCATCAATCTCATCATCATCAATCTCATCATCATCAATCTCATCATCATCAATCTCATCATCATCAATCTCATAATCAATATCATCATCATCAATCTCATAATATCAATATCATCATCATCATCATCAATCTCATCATCATCAATCTCATCATCATCAATCTCATAATCAATATCATCATCATCATCATCAATCTCATCATCATCAATCTCATCATCAATCTCATCATCATCAATCTCATAATCAATATCATCATCATCAATCTCATAATATCAATCTCATCATCATCAATCTCATCATCATCAATCTCATCATCATCAATCTCATCATCATCAATCTCATAATCAATATCATCATCATCAATCTCATAATATCAATATCATCATCAATCTCATCATCATCAATCTCATCATCATCAATCTCATCATCATCAATCTCATAATCAATATCATCATCAATCTCATAATATCAATCTCATCATCATCAATCTCATCATCATCAATCTCATAATATCAATCTCATCATCATCAATCTCATAATCAATATCATCATCAATCTCATCATCATCAATCTCATCATCATCAATCTCATCATCATCATCAATCTCATCATCATCATCAATCTCATCATCATCAATCTCATCATCAATCTCATCATCATCAATCTCATCATCATCATCAATCTCATCATCATCATCAATCTCATCATCATCAATCTCATCATCAATCTCATCATCATCATCAATCTCATCATCAATCTCATCAATATCATCATCAATCTCATCATCAATCTCATCATCATCAATATCATCATCAATCTCATAATATCATCATCATCATCAATCTCATCATCATCGATCTCATCATCAATCTCATCATCATCATCATAAGCCAACATAATCATTACAATCATCATCATCATCAGTTCGTATCCACGACTATGAGACACCCCGCGGCATGCGCGCTGCCTGCCACTGTGAAGTGATGACAGGGCAGCAGCAGCAGCAGCCAGGGCAGCAGCAGCAGCAGCACAGCTGCCCCGGGACTGCCCCTGGGACTCTCCTCCTCCTGCTGCTGCTGATGATGATGACGCTGATGATGGTCGGGATGGCGCCTCCAGTAGCTGCTGTGGGCAGCACGGGGAGTCTGAGCTGCCCCGTCGCCTGCACTTGCCGCTGCCCTCTGCCCCCGCTGCTGCCCGCGGAGTGTTCGGTGAACTGCACGCTGGGAGAACTGCAGCGGCTGCCTCCTCTACTGCCCGACAACACCTCGTCACTGTGAGTGTGATGGGCAGCGTGTCGCGGACAACACTGACACATCAACACTGACTCACCAACACTGACACATCAACACTGACACATCAACACTGAGACATCAACACTGAGACATCAACACTGACTCATCAACACTGACTCATCAACACTGAGACATCAACACTGAGACATCAACACTGACTCACCAACACTGACTCACCAACACTGACACATCAACACTGACACATCAACACTGACTCATCAACACTGACTCATCAACACTGACTCACCAACACTGACTCACCAACACTGACACATCAACACTGACACATCAACACTGACACATCAACACTGACACAGCAGCACCTCCTCACTGCGAGTGGGCTCTGGGTGTGATTGTTGCGTGCCAGGGTCACCACTGACCACACGTGTGGCCACACCGTCACAACAATCACACCAATGCTCACGCACACACACCAGCATGTCAACACTGACACCAACGCTGACCACCAGCGCTGACACCTTGAAAGATCTGGGCAAAGTCCCATCGGTGAGCTCCGGCAGGCAAGGCTGCGTTGGCTGGGTCATGTAGCCCGCATGCCCAGCCACCGCATGCCTAAACAGCTTTTGTTCGGCCGGATCGAGGGGGCTAAACGGGCGCGGCACGGGCTAGAGAAGAGATGGAGTGATGTGGTACAGGAGGCACAGGCTAGAGAAGAGATGGAGTGATGTGGTACGGGAGGATGTGGAGCTGAGTGGACTTGCCGATGACTGGTACCAGCGGTGTCAAGATCGGCCTCAGTGGAGGAGGCTCGTGAAGGACGCTACTGGGCAGTTGGAGGCAGTCGCTCACAACAACGAGCGGAGCGCCGCCGGGTGGCTAAAGCACAGCAAGTTGGTACAGGTGGTGCATCAGCCAGTCATCTCGGTCATCTCAGTCAGTCGACCCGTGGCACCTGCAGGGTTTGTTCCCTGACCTCCTGCCAGCGAGCGTGCGACACTTCACGTGGCCTCAAGGTGCACTTGGCCTGGCACAGGCGCCGTGGTGACGTCACTGTCACTTAGTGGCGATCAGCGGTTGTTGTTGTTGTGTTGTCAGTGTTAACATGTTAGTGTCATTGGTGTCAATGTTAACATGTCAGTGTTAACATGTTAATGTCATTGATGTCAGTGCTGGTGTCAGTGTTAACATGTTAATGTCATTGATGTCAGTGCTGGTGTCAGTGTGAACATGTTAGTGTCATTGGTGTCAATGCTGGTGTCAGTGTTAACATGTTAGTGTCATTGGTGTCAATGCTGGTGTCAGTGTTAACATGTTAATGTCATTGGTGTCAGTGCTGGTGTCATGTTAACATGTTAGTGTCATTGGTGTCAGTGCTGGTGTCATGTTAACATGTTAGTGTCATTGGTGTCAGTGTGAACATTTTAATGTCATTGGTGTCAGTGTTAACATGTTAGTGTCATTGGTGTCAATGTTGGTGTCAGTGTTAACATGTTAATGTCATTGGTGTCAGTGCTGGTGTCATGTTAACATGTTAGTGTCATTGGTGTCAGTGTTAACATGTTAGTGTCATTGGTGTGAGTGCTGGGGCCAGAATTGGGCACGACGGCATGGTGGTGGTCAGCGTCCACGCGTTGGTCGCGGTTGCTGAGAGCGTGGCCCGTGTGAGAGAGAGACACATCGCTCCGCTGTGAGTGTTGGCGGGCTCTCTCTCCGCTTCCATCGCGTTCTTCCTTCTCGTCATCTTGGGCAAGCCCGGCTCGTGGGTTCCTACTGAACCGCGTCATGGAGGGAGGGTCCTGCTTGATCGCAATGTTTCAAGTGGTGGTGGCGGTGGTGGTGGCTTTGGCGGTGGTGGTGGTGGCGTAGGTGGTGGTAGCGATGGTGGTGGTCTTGGTGGTGGCTTTGATGATGGTGGTGGTGGCGGTGGCAGTTGGTGGTGGGGGTGGTGGTGGCTTTGGTGGTGGTGGCTTTGGTGGTGGCGGCAGCAGTTGGTGGTGGTGGGGGTGGTGGTGGCTTTGGTGGTGGTGATGGTGGTGGTAGCAGTTGGTGGTGGTGGGGGTGGTGGTGGCTTTGGTGGTGGTGGATGGTGGTGGCCCGGTGGTGGTGACGGCAGCAGCGGTGGCGGCGGTGGTGGTGAGGGGGAGGCGGCAGGCTTATGATTAACCTATTCAAAGTAAGTTCTGGTCACCGCTTCCAACCCCCGACCAACCCCCACCGCACGAAGCGATGCAGCCAAATACACCGGTGCAGAGAGCTCTGCGATGGGTCCATCGTGTCGTGCGCGTGTTGCTGTACGTACGTCAAATTTCTTTCACAGCGTAGTAGGCAACCGTGCTAATCGGAGGTGCGGGGGAAGGACAACAAATTAAATACAAAAATTCGTTCTAAAGAAATTCTTTTCAATCTAGATTTAGTGGCTTCCTAATATCGGACGGAAGAGCATTCCAGACGGCCGCAGGACACGGTCAGATCTTGCAGGATACGGTGAGATCTTGTAGGACACGGTCAGATCTTGTAGGACACGGTCAGATCTTGTAGGACATGGTCAGATCTTGTAGGACACGATCAGATCTTGCGGGACACAGTGAGATCTTGTGGGACACGGTCAGATCTTTTAAGACACGGTCAGATCTTGTAGGACACGGTGAGATCTTGTAGGACACGGTCAGATCTTGTAGGACACGGTGAGATCTTGTAGGACACGGTGAGATCTTGTAGGACACGATCAGATCGTGTAGGACACGGTCAGATCTTGTAGGACACGGTCAGATCTTGTAGGACACGGTGAGATCTTGTGGGACACGGTCAGATCTTGTGGGACACGGTGAGATCTTGTGGGACACGGTCAGATCTTGCAGGACACGGTGAGATCTTGCAGGACACAGTCAGATCTTGCGGGACACGATCAGATCTTGTAGGACACGATCAGATCTTGTGGGACACGGTCAGATTTCGTGGGACACGGTCAGATCTTGTAGGACACGATCAGATCTTGTGGGACACGGTCAGATCTTGTAGGACACGATCAGATCTTGTAGGACACGGTCAGATCTTGTGGGACACGGTCAGATCTTGTAGGACATGATCAGATCTTGTGGGACACGGTCAGATCTTGTAGGACACGATCAGATCTTGCAGGACACGGTCAGATCTTGTAGGACACGATCAGATCTTGCAGGACACGGTCAGATCTTGTAGGACACGATCAGATATTGTGGGACACGGTCAGATCTTGTGGGACACGATCAGATCTTGTGGGACACGGTCAGATCTTGTAGGACACGGTCAGATCTTGTAGGACGCGTCACGACACGTGCCAAATGATTTTGTGCACGGTGCAGCTTGGTATAATGTTAAATGGCTGAGGTGCTCGCTAACAACACTTGCCGCCCAGGCAGTCCTAACGCTATACGGGGGAGCTTTGTCTTTGTCGTGTGCGTGCAGCTGGCTGAGCTAGGAACCCGGCGACCCGAGTTCGAACCCCGCTCGTGGCCCCCAACACCACCAGTGACGGACTATCTGAACCGGTCCTGAGTCTTCCCTCGGTCGACTCAGCCCCAAATGAGTTGCCTTGTGCGGTGTGTAGACATTACCACTCTCGGGATGGTGTTGGCCACCCACCACCCGCTCACGTGCCTTGCCCCGGCATTCATAGGTCGTTGCTTGCTCACAGCACTTCCCCCAAATGTCTGTGAAGGCTGCACTGGGAGGGGGGGGTGGGATCTTTTTCTTGTTTGTGTGCAGGCTGACAAGAGGGGGGGGGGACATTGTGCTGGCCTTCCTGAGAGGTCATTGACTCTCGTTACACGGTACAGGAAATGCGTACACGAGATTCCTGTGTGCCTCTGTTTATGGGGTCGTCCATAAATGACGTCACGCAATTTTGGACGATTTTTGACCACCCCCACCCCCACCCTTCGTCACACGGCGTCATAGAAAGTCAGACCCCCCCCCCTCAAATATGACGTCACAAAGCTCTGCCCCCCCCAAAATAAAACATGCTTCAAATCGCTTTAAACTATTGTCATTGTAGTGCGTATTTAATGTGGCGCTGCAGTCTGGTGTTGTAGGAGAAAACATTTATTAAAAAGTCTATTTAATTAAGTAGAACGTGTTGATGTGACGTCAAATTTCTCTACACTAGTAGTGTAGTAATGTGTAGTAGTGTGTAGTGTAGTAGTGTATAGTAGTGTTGTAGTGTGTAGTAGTATAGTAATGTATAGTAGTGTAGTAGTGTATAATAGTGTGTAGTAGTATAGTAGTGTTTTGTAGTGTAGTGTATAGCAGTGTATAGTAGTGTATAGTAGTGTAGTGTATAGTGTAGTAGTGTATAGTAGTGTAGTAGTGTATAGTGGTGTAGTAATGTATAGCAGTGTAGTAGTGTATGGTAGTGTAGTGTATAGTGTAGTGTATAGTAGTGTAGTAATGTATAGTAGTGTATAGTAGTGTAGTAGTGTATAGTAGTATAGTGTATAGTAGTGTAGTGTATAGTAGTGTAGTGTATAGTAGTGTAGTAGTGTATAGTAGTGTAGTGTTTAGTGTAGTGTATAGTAGAGTGTATAGTAGTGTAGTGTATAGTGTAGTGTATAGTAGTGTATAGTAGTGTAGTGTATAGTGTAGTGTATAGTAGTGTGTAGTAGTGTGGTAGTGTGTCGTAGTGTAGTGTATAGTGTAGTGTATAGTAGTGTACAGTGTAGTGTATAGTAGTGTAGTGTATAGTGTAGTCGTGCTTGAGTCCGTCGCCAGGGACAGGCAGGTCTGGACTTCCGTACTCAACACGCTGCTGCCGCCGCGACCTTCGCCAGGCCAAGCGGATTGAGGAACGCACGAACCAACGAACCAACGCGTAGATTGTTAAATATTTCTGGTAAAATTTTGGCAAAAACATCCCGGATGCTGAAACATAGCCCCACGTTGGGGTTGAGCGGAGCGCGTTGGAGCGCTTGGGGATCAGCGATTGCACTTTCACCAAAAGTGGGTCTCGGCGGTGCCACGCCAGATGAAGTGTATCGGTGTCGTG